TACATTGTTCGATAACATGAGAAGCGATCGACACGGATGGTTTGGGTTCTTCAGTATTTCATACGTCAAAATCAAGTCTCCTCGAGTTCGGCGGTACTGAGCAGAATAAAGTACCAATGATCGCAATCTGTGCTCGTATGACAGGAATTGGAATCCCTTGACTCTAGTCTCAGTCACGGATGTCATTAGATTAGTGAGATTTTCAGTAAATGTCTTCCAAGCGACCAACGGATTGGATTCTTCGTCATAGGAAACCCGCTGAGTAGGGAGAGCCAAGTTATTCAACAGTGTGTAGTCTATAGATCTGCGCGTGTTACCAGAGGAACTTCCTTAAATCGATGCTTAACAGACGTATTTGAATGTAAGTACTGCATGATCGCTACGTCCTAGGAGAGAAGTCACAGTAACAGACTCTATCGTCGGCTCCTCATTGGTCCACACTAAATCCAGTATGGAAGGTGATTGAAGGTTGCCAAACCTAGTGGCCACCTTCACATGGTTGTATAGTGGATGCGAGTCAATCAGCCGTTTGAAATGATGTTCGAAAAATGAGCGGACGGTAGCTGATTTATTGAGATCGGGGCAGTTGAAATCACCCATAAGGAGAAAATGAGTGAATTTTTGTGTAAGAATGTGTGACATAGTTAGTAAAAGCGTCTCATTGGCCGTCTCCGAGGATGATGGAGGACGATAGACTACACCAATCAAACAATCATCATGTTTGGACAACTTCAACCTGCACCACAGAGTGTCCGGTGTCGAAACGGGAGGGTAGATTTGCTCGCAATCAAGACTGTTTCGGAAGTAGAGTAAAACACCACCAACACGGGTAGGACGATCGCTTCTGAGTAGAGATATCTCTGATAAAGACAATTCAGGAGTCCAAAATATCAGTTGAGAGCCACGTCTCTGTAACAGCAATAATATCCCATTGACTAGATATAAAACGGAACTTCTAATCTGGAAATTTGCCGAGGAGTCCTTGAGCATTAGAGTAGAAACAGTTTAGATACCGTCGGTGTAGAAATCCGCTTGGATAGGAAGTGGTATCTCGGCGGACCCCATCTCGTTCGGCTACCTTTAGTTATTTAGCAGAGGAGCTCTGGTTATATGCTGATCGACACTCGAGTAATTCCCAGGAGAAAAAGAAAAACAAACAGGAAAAATAATGCTTCATCGAGGTATTTTGCAGCATAATACAATTAGTTAAAAAAACACGAACCACAAAAAATACCAATACGTCAAAATGCAAGCACGTTTTTGTAGCAAGGCACACACACACACGCACTGGGTCCCATCGGTGATCCGGATTTTCTCATCTCTCTCTCTCTCTAAATATTATTTGTGATAGAGAATGGAGAAAAACGAAACCGTGACAATTGGTTAATCAATCAATCCTAATAAAAGCAACAAACGAACGGGATAAACGGGATGAACGCAAAATTTCATTCACAATTATGAAAATGAGGTGAGGTGGGACACAACCGACAGAGATGGAACTACAAACAGGATCAGGATGTGATGCAAACCGGGCGGGGTAGGGGTAAGCACGAGGAGGAGGGGAGGGGGACACAGTAGTTAGCGATGTGTTTTCAATTAGAGACACGTGTGGATGCGGGGGGAGGGGNGGGGAGGTGGGGTCGGGGTGATGGAAAGGCACAATCCATGACTCGCTGGGCCGGCACAGAAACTTAGTGATCGCCAGGTTCAGCAGACTGTTTAGGCGTTTTTTCCGGTGCGTTTTTCTTTCCCAAAATGGCCATTAATTCCTTGCTCATGTAGTACGGATGCTCCGGAGAGCCGTCATTTCGCTCCAGATCTTCCACTAGCCGACCGGAGTTTAAGAAAACATTAAAAAAAATAAGGAATCAGCGAACTTTAACAAAAGGAAATTTATCGAATCATCGACGACCGCCAAATAGAATAGTCATCGGTTATGCGAACGCAAACAGGACCAACTAGATGGAATACACCCGACAGACGAGAAACGCTAGTCGTGATAATAGTATGTTATCTGCGCCGCGATCTTGGGTTACACATAGACGAACGGGTGCAATGGTGTTATAAACACTGGGAAAATGGTTACGGACCAGGATCGATAGTAGTCCGAGAACTCACAAATAAAAAATCATTCACCATTGTGTCCTAGTGCATTCCGGCAGGGACGTACCAACTGACTGTTGCGATAACCTCGCTGTGCCAGAACCACCCGGGAGTGTTGTGTCTTTAAAGTGAATCCAGCAAATAGAGTTTGAACTGGAGCACCGGACCTATCTAAGCTACGCACGTGTGTATGAGATGTAGCACACAGATAGTCAATATCTGACTGCAAGCATCCCGAGGCCGTGAGAAATACGAACACTCGACACCATAACTTCGATCACACGGAAACGGAATTCATCAAAACTCGCCGTGCAATCTACGCCTGGAGTTTAGCAATCTACTCTGGAATTTATTCAATCTAACTCCCAAGCACAACATTTTGTCGTTTGGAGTAAATGGTATTGCTCAATGAGCCCCACAAATGAGGGCGCACAACAAACAGAAGAAAACTCAACATCAGTCAGTAGTGCCCCAATGATGAGGAGCAGGCTACATTGAGAGGTGTTCATTAACCTATGATCAAGGATCTCCGGTTGGGACATGTGTTACGCATGTCACCAGATGGGTTACCACGGCGAGCGATGTTCGCCGAAGCAGATTCCGAGTGGAAAAAGCCAAGGGTGGTCAAGTTAAGACCTGGCACGAGGGTATGAAGACCCAGAGTCACATAGGTCCCATTAGGCTTCCTAGCTGGGGACCTCGGGATGATCGTAACCGATGGTTAGAGACACTGAGTGATACGGCTGGGTGTCGCAAACAGTGGCGTTCGTGCATCTTCTCAATTTCTTTGCAACTTTAGACCACTGAACTTCTCCATTTTCTGTTCGACTCCACTTCAACTTTCCTTTCTTCTCCTATTCTTCATCCAAATGGGCAGCCAAAAGACAGCAACCAAAACCGGCGCACGGATATGCGTGGTTAATGGTTGTACAAACTGAAACTGAAATCCGGTCACAACACCCGGACGGCACCATCGTATTCCAATGACCAAATGCACTGGACACTGGTACGTCCTCAAGGGACTTGAGCGGTCGACGACTGTCGAAAAAAGTGCGATAACAAATCGGTAAAGAGTCAGCTTATTATTAAATCATTTTAGCGAAATAAAATTCTACAGACACACGTAATTTATCGAACTGTGCATGAACGTTGTACCTACCAACTCACATTATTTGAACAAACACGGAAACAGTAGTAGAACACAGAATGGGAAACTAAGGATTTGTACGAAGAGAACACTGTCACAGTACCAATGGTCGAGGATCGCATATGAACGAGGAAGACTTACGGAAACACAAGAAAATGGTATCCACACCCATTTCGTAAACGCTTGAGAACAAGGAAACGATCACGTAGGAACCGACGATAATGATCTGGAAACAGAGGTGAAAATGGAAGTACGTAAATTCCGGGTAGGTTAACATGGTAACCACAAAGATCATCTTACCAACTATGCGGGGTCAAGGTTAATTTGCCTTCCCTCCGTGTATTACGTTTTAAACATTACCAATGGTTTTTGCCTACTTCACCATGCCACGGTTGCGAAGCAATTTGTATCCGCTCAAGATGAGATCCCAGTATCACTCAAAACAAATGATACAAATTGGTCGTGAATTTATCAGCCCCGCTGTTGTCCGTGCCTTGATGATCAGTCGTTCAACTGCCAGATAGTAATCAGGTATATGGTTGTCAAAGTCAACATTTTATTATGGGAAATAATTACAAGCGATTGCTTTCATTGGGTTTAGCATAAATGGATCGATTTACTATTCATAGAAAGATTAGGAATGTCACAAACTATTCTAGCTTCGTGCTCTGCTACGGATGTCGAAATTCAAGACTTGACAATGTTTGACTCAATTTGTGCCTGAAAGAATCAATTGTGCGCGCATAAGCAACGCGAGGTGGTAGAGAATTCCGAGTAGTGCACACCCTGGAGGAAACGAATGACGCCGGCATTTTTGGAGTACTAATTTGAATGAGTGCCCCTCAGGTAAATGTTGGACGACAAGGCGAACATTGAACGACATAGATGATCAGCGTTCTGCATTATTTGATACTCCAAAATCAAGTCCCCTCGAATTCGGCGATACTGCGTGGAGTACAGCCCCAGTAATTACAGTCTTTCGGAGTAACTCTTCGAATGTAGTCTCATGACGATTTCGGTAGGATTCTTTGTAGACGCTCCAGAATCGTACGATCAACTTGCAGCCACGGATTCCACGCTTGAATGGTGTACTCTATGTGGGGTCGAATGTAGGCTGATAACAACCGTGGGAACAGCGTAGGTTCAAATGTATCAAATACTCACTTTAGTAAACCAACGTGCCTGCAGTAATGGACGATGCCCTGGAGCAGTTTACCGAACAACTTGGGTAATCTTGAACAATGACACAAAGATCCTTTTCCTTCGAGGCAACTGAAGTTTAAAATATCTCAGATAGTACGGAACCCGAGTTTGGTGGCGAAGGGATACGACCAAACATTTTGATGCATTGAATTTGATATCGTTTTCTATTGATAAACGGCATTAAGTGTTTTCTGAAGTGACAGTGAGTCCTCAGGTTTTGTCACTATTTGTATATTTTGCATCGTCTACAAACATTAACGTCACCTCATCCGGGGTTAGCCATTATTTTTCAAATCAGCAAATCTCGTTGTGCTATGTGCCTATCAGAGACTTCGTTCAGCAAATGATATTTATCAAATTTATTAATAACAACATGAAGTGTAAGCCCAGAGCACTATCTAAATGATCGCCTATAACACCCCGAACGGTTGGCGATCACAGAAATGCTACAAAGCAAGCTATATATTTTGAGAACCGAAAATGGCATACAAGCTCGTTTTCAGTATGTCTTGATCATGCCAATACAACACAGTATATTTATGATTAGCGACAGAAAAGGATTGACGTGAGAAAGGAGAAAGTAATTAACAGTAACAGTAACAGAAAGTAATTAACAGTTTGTTCTAATTGGCCCCCAATCATCATTTACCGTTGGAGGATAGAATGCCCGATTCCGTGGAGCAAAATATGTTGATCACACGAGCGCATCCGTGAGTATCACTCAGTGTGTGGTTGAGAAGTGAAGTAATCAAATCAATCACAAATGCTGTCGTGTCGCATCTTGTCGACAATAATTACATTGTACATGTTACCGAAGCGCCCCAATCCTTGTACAGAGTTCAAAAGGGAAGGTTTAGACACGTGCGGTTTCACATTATATCCACAATGGAGGTAGTTAGTATCCGTCTTCACACACCACTTCCCTCTACCCTCTGTGTGCTCAAAAACAATTTGTGCCAATACTCAAGGTCCCACGGCCGCATTAAGACAAGTGATCCGTCAGGAAACGTCCGAGCTAATGATAATTGGGGATCCATTGTGACACAAACTGTTAAATGCTTTAATTACTTTCCCTTTTCTCTCGTAAATACTTATCTGCTGCTAGTCATATATATTGTGTGTAATGGCATGATTAAGACACCGCAAACGAATATGTTTGCCAATTGGTTTACAGTATATTGAATTATCAGTGCTATCGGTGTGGCCTCGTGGCTAGAGTTGTACAAAAGCGTAAGCGGCGTCCATGTGTGAGTTCGAATCCCATCGAGGCTACTGAACTTTCACAATTTGAACAAAAGACTTCAACCGGCGAAGAACTCTCGTATCACCAATCTCTTTTATAAGCCCGATCAGGCGAACGCGAAAAATGATGTGACAGGTGAGAAGAATGGAGCACTCACAGCCAATGGCACGATGACGTAATGCATAGTTGGTTGAAATTCAGCCAGCGGTGTGTTGGCGAATATGACTCCATCCAAATACAAGTAACCGAGACTGCCTTTGCACATGCAAGGACGCAGGACATGTATGTAGGGGTCGGACAACAGGGAAAGGAGGCAATGAGAGGGGAACCATATGAACTACTCGAGAGGGAGGTGATATTGCGAGAGGCAACATGTATCGACATAACCGCATGCAAAAACCGAAATGTCAACACTGTGAACGATATGCACACGGGATTGCGTGAGGATGTAGAACAAACGTGACAATATATATATATATATATATATATATATATATATATTCAGGAGTAAAATTAGTCAAACATGATATACGTACGAATGTTTATCATTCTTTTTGTGCATACACACAAAAAATAGGAGGGATACGACCAGTAGAATGAGAATAATCTCACGTAAATGTATGAAAGGCGTATGGACAATGCATCGCACAGTATTATGTGTCGGTGGCATGTGAATTATTGCTGAAATTCACATAGCTCATTGGGAATGAAGCAAGATCGGGCATCTTGGTGGTCACATCTACACGACCTGCGTGGAATTTACACACGCCACAGACACACGGTTGAGTGTCTGGGTAGCAGGAAAACGTAGCAGCGGAATCGTGACACCAAATTAATTCTCTCCTACTGAGGAGTATTGGGACCAGAATGGGTTACTTGCTGGAAAAGAAAATCCAATCATGCACAGCGCTCAATGAATAACGTATATGGATTGGGATTGGAAAAGCAGAGTTCGCTTTTGCCCAATCCGAGTTCGGGGATGATGAGAAACACGTTCCGTAGAACACAAACTATCATCGATGTGACTCAAGATGTTGCTATTGCAGTCCGATAAGTGGGCGGAAACATGCTTGAATAGGATGAGTCTGAGAGCGAAAATGACTCACTGCAACTGTGAACCAGTGCTCCCAGGCGAATCCATCATATATGAAAGCTGCCAGGATGACTGTTGGAACAATGTAAACACATTTGATCCCGTTCAGGCGAGCGAAAACATGTCAGAAGAACGCGTGTGCATAGAACGACCAACGTAACTTCATCCCGCTCTCTCGTCTTAGCTCATAACCTTCATTTAATGTGTTCATCTCTCGAACGTTTGTCTATTTGACCTTTGTGTTCTCACCGGCAACCACGACTATCATTAGCCTTGTCATATTCTTTTAATCTGTTTGCTCGCCTCTGTCACCGATACTAACTGAGCTCTAATCGGCCAATCAGACATCAGTATTATGATCACGTTATATAGGTAAACACCTGAAGCGATGTATTGAAAAGAAATTTCTTCGCGAATACCGCTTTCTACAGTCCAATATGGTGATCTTCGATCCATCTCCTCGAATGCTAGAGGCATACACTTGCTTTTGGGAGATTTACTCCTTGTGGGTACAGCCGTTCTTTAATCCCTACGACCAACCTTGTTATATCTCCGGGAGTTCATGAGGCGTTTTTCATTGTCTTTTGATGCATAGAAAATCTTCCAGTAACGGAATCTATGACGTAGCCGAACAAGCACGGTTCTACTGGGGGGACACTTTGCTCAACTGCAAACAATGCGGACCTCCTCGTTTTCAATTACACAATGCTCCATGACCGATGGTTAATGGCGCGTTAATAGCGTGACCATTATTACCTTTTATTAATCAGAAATAAATTAACAGACACAAGAGGTATCACCCTATCATAATTATACAATACTATTTTTTTCACAAACAGTTCGACTACTGTTGACGACGATAGTTCTACTCGAACGTTAACTGTACTGGCTGCAACTTCGGTCAATTTGCATGTGCATCGAGTATTTGATAGCCACCAGATAGTTAAATTATCCGGGTTTTTCTAGATTTAATGTATACGAAGAAGGTATCTAATCAGAACAGATTAGGAGGTAATGAGTATAGAATGAAATAAATGATATTACACACGTACAGGTAATGTATGTGTAAGAAACGAAGTACGCATACAAATGTCAGGACGATCGAACGAGTCGTTCGATACTACTACTACTTACTGGTCAGTCCGACTACGACTAATTTGCCAATGAACAGAATGAAGTCGGTCACCTTGTCCACCACGACCAAGCTGAAATGCAAAAACTATAGTGTGGATAATCACATGGGATGATAAATCTCATCAAGAAAGACAAAGTGGAACAGATCGTTTACATCACGTTGATCGTCCTACAATACGAAGCTTGATTCAGTGTCATGTGTCCCGCAGATTCGGGTGTGGAATTTGAGCCTGATGTAAAACTGGTGATTAAAAGGGTTTTTTATCACGTGAAGCCTTTCGGAATATTTGAAAAATAACAACGCAGGTTTTTCGATGGACTAATGCGAGACACACAGACTGGCCTAAAAGAGCCGGCCAAACTCCAATGCTTGTTGTCCAGATCATTTGGTAGACAGGCAATTTACGCGATAGGGTGGGGTGTGTAATCAGTGAACACTTGATCACAGAAGAAGCGAAACACTTGGGACATCACATTTGTTGATGATAGATCAGTTCAGTTTTGCCAAACATCAACCGTGCACTATCGAGCGCCGCTTTTCGTTGCTGTCTACTGGCTGCTCATTTGGATGAACATTGGGAGAAAGCCAAGAAAGATTGGAAGTAGGATCAAAGAGAAAATTTAGAATTTCCGAGGTCGAAAGTTTTGGTTTGCAAAGGAATGTTTTATTTTTATTTTGTATTTGTATTACTTGTGCAAGCATATATGCTTACATTTCAGTTGAAAATGTACACTATTCGTCACGCAGAGTGAAATAATAATATTAGAAACGAAAGGTAAATAATGTCGGTGATATGTTTTATGTACAAAACTTTTGACGTAGTTCATTTGAGACCTGTTTCTTTTTGGTAAGTAGTCGGGCCAAGTAGGGTACAGGGGGATTTTTATAAGTGCTAATCCGAGAGGGTAGCTGTCGAAATGAGGAGCGTGTGGATGATGGGAACGACAAGACGACAGATCACGGTGAAGTGGATGAAGAGGATCATCTAGGATCTTTTGAGAAAATTTAAAACAAGAGTTGATGTGATCATCAATGACAAGATGCACGAACGTCATGGCTTACGACACTCAAACGTATCAGTCAGTGTCTCTAACCATCGGGTACGATCATCCCGAAGTCCCCAGCCAGGGAGCCTAGCGGTACCTAAGTAACCCAGTACCCTTGTGGGAGATTTCATATTCTCCTGC